TTGAAACTAGACCACCATGGAAAATCTGTAAGCATTAGACAGCTGTTTCATTCTAGTATTGGATCATGAATGAGAACTGCTGAGGAGTCACATACTAGGACGAAACGGCCGTCCTGTACTTCTAGGTTTTCTATAATGGTCTAGCTTCAATTCACTGATGATTTCAACTATTAAAATAAAGATCTGACATTAAAATGGATAGAAAACTGAGATATTTTACATTATAGAATAAATATTACAGTTAATTGGCTTAATATAATTGGATAAGCTCATGAGAATAGTAAGTATGGTTTAGAATTGTCTCATTAGTTGAAGATCACAATTGACATGATTCAACATCATAATAAAGTCATTTCTAGAAACTTAGTTTGATGAACAGTTGTACCATTCTCTAATCTATCCGTAACTAAGCAAATATCAACGATGATGATGTTGTGCAACTTAGATGGATTTCTATCTTCTGGGTGTAGTGTTCTATGGGAGATAGGTAAACATATCACATCCCATGTTAGTTACGAGGTACTAAACGATATATGTTATTAGTTGAAACTATTGAAGCCCCAAAACGCCCTGGTACGGCCGAGAGTGGGGAGAGTCCGCTCTCCCTCTCGAAATGCTCTCACATGGCCACGCGTATATACAGTGAGAACATATATAATAATAGTCCATAAACAGGTCCTAGCGGTTACTATTCATCTATCCTTCGTTCGGATATAACACTATGGATCTTTCTATGATCGGAATCTTATATATAATATAAATTGATTGCACACTATCGACATTAGCCTACTCAAAATAATTGATAAGTAGTATAATTATTTTTTACGAAATTGGTTACCTTCAAACTGTTGGGGATGTTAGATCCCCAGAACTCACTTGGTAATTCTATTTTTTTCTAAAAATTTGTATTTCTTGTTTCCGGGCCAAAAGTGCTCTATTTTTATTCATGTTGTATCTCCCACTTACGAGGATCTTAAACGCTATTGGTTCGTTGTATCCTTTAGTGTGCTATTTTGTAACGATTCCTAAGAACAATTTTCTTCTGTATATACATATACTTACTTACATACATACGAATGTTACTCCCCGTGAAGGAGCGTAGGCCTCTCACCAGCATTCTCGATCTAACTCTGTCCTGGGCAATCCTTTCCGTTGCTATTTGACTGGTCTTCTCGGTCTTCCACGTTGTACCTATAAAAATTGTTACTCTGGTTGTTAGAAAGGTCATCGGACTCGTGGCTTCCGAAGGAACTCGGCTTTCACCATGAGGCGTCATAGTTCTTCTAAATGAAGACCTTCTAACTCCCAGGGTAGAGTTTAAATGGTTTGAATTATTTTTCTTCTGGTTAGCGCTAACTCCATGCCCAACCCTCCTCCTTTACCAGGGCTTGAGACCGTCAGTAACTCTAGAAGAACTACAGGCGAAGTTATATATATATATATAAGTTTGATTTGTGCCTGTTATTATTGCTTGTGTTTTTGGCTGCTTGTGAAATATATATCCCTCTTTCGAACTTGGACTTCTTTTTCTAGTTAGCGGGGTTTGGACGCGTCGAGATAGCTTGTTTATCTGTCATTGTATCACAGAGTCTTTGTTTCCGTTCTCAGATATAGAGTGAACTCTTAATCTCTTCAAATATAGCACAAACATTTAAACAAAGTCAAAATGACAATGTTTGCAGGATGTGATGAATCAGTTGTGTTTTGTTGCTTTCTCTTTAGTTATACACTAACTGATATGTTTAATTATTTCCAATCATTAAGAAAATGTTAAGCATTGCAGTTATAACAAAGAGGATGCTTCTTATAATTGTTTACAATGACTGGTCTAAGGTGTTTAGATCGATTTATTACGTAATACAATGAATGTTTTGAAAGGGAAAGAGAACGTATTAGTTACATTCACTAGATGGTTGATACAGTGGTACAATTAAAAGTTATCATATGAGAAGGTTACGCTGTGCCAAACAACCCCCTCCCCCCAAAAATAACAACTATATGTCATAGGTTAAGAATTGGACTCCCTTCTTAGGGCTTACATACATATACCCAAATGAGTGCTTAAGCGTGTGATTTGGTTTAGCTCAACAAACTTCATTCTAAACTCTTTGTCTATTCACTTAGTATTCAGTTGACGTTGGAGATTGTGCATAGAAAGTGTGTGTAAAACATTATTAGTCTTGGACACTGCACATCATAACAGTTATGATTATGATTAGTTGCAGAAAACAGAGATCAATATATTATTAAGGTAGTTGAAGATCAACTATTGAACTCCTTTTAAGTACTGGTGATAATGATTGGTCGTGTGCTTAGTCAGATTAGTAGATATTTTCACAGATTGAAATCATGAGTCAGTTGAAGCTAGACCACCATTGAAAACCTGGAAGCACTGGACGGCCGTTTCGTCCTAGTATGGGACTCCTCAGCAGCGCGCATCCATGATTCCGCACCACGCGGGGCTCGAACCCAGAACCTACTGGCTCCGTGCGCGAGCACTTAGCCATTAGACCACTGAGCCGGCGTCCAACGGTGTTAATGTCTAACTTCAACCAATCCACAAAGTTGCGCCACTGCTGAGGAGTCCCATACTAGGACGAAACGGCCGTCCAGTGCTTCCAGGTTTTCAATGGTGGTCTAGCTTCAACTGACTCATGATTTCAATCTGTGAAAATTTCTAAAAATCTCCACAAACCCCTTCAGATTAGTAGATAGTCTGAAAACAATTAGATGAGTTGTATATCCTCCCATCCTTACTATTATTGTATTGTGTTCATTTTTGGTGTGGAAACGTATATACATAATTTTCAGGCTAATCACGTGTTCTTGATCTGAGTTGTGTTGAAGTCCTGTAGAATAGACACTGGGTGAGAATCTAGTGTAGATATTGGTCTAAGGTAAATTAACGTCCCATTCGTGTAGACGTTGAAAACCGTATGTTATAACAAGTACAAAAGTCCAGTTTAAAGTTTATAATTGCTATGACCTCTGAGAATTTTAATAATATGGAAGTGGACTGTTTATCGATAACTCTGAAGAATTCACTTAATCCACGTTATTCTTCGTGTCTAGTAGGTGGAGAAGTATAATAGGCAATTTTCTCTTGAAAAGCGTAGAGATTATGAAATACGATTAGTTACGATCTGCTAATATTAGTGGAAGCATTTTCAATCATAAAGATGAAACCCGAATATTAATCCCACTTTATTTGAAACAAGTTCAGAAAGTTTAGATCAACTTATCGTTCCTTACATTTCCAATATAGTGTTGTAGAGATTGTTGGTTTTAATTAGAATTGCGAACTGACCATTTCTACAAATGTCGAAAACTCGAAAGCACTAGATGGCCATTTCATCTTGAATAGGTTCTTAATTTCAACTGGAATCCTGAGCGTGAGTCCCAATTGTGTGGTCTGCGCTGTTGAGAAGTCTCTTACTGGAACGAAACCATCATCCAGCTCTTCTACACTTTTAGTGGTTGTATAATTTGAATCGATTTGTGATATCAATGAGATCCTCATATTCTTTCTAACACTTTTTCTATATTACACTATGTGGTGACAACCCAGATCGTGAAATTTGATGATGAGAGTTCAAATCCCATCAATTTCTTCAACACTGAGGGTATGCGTTGCTAATACGTACTTACTAGCACAAAACATCGGTCCAGGAGAGGGATTCCTGTTGACTATATCTAGAAACCTAACATTACAATCTATTGCATCTCATGTCAAGTAACTTAAGCCAAATCCACATTTCAACTTGATAGATAAATTTTGAACAGCATCAAAGGGCTGAACAAACATGATATTAATTATCGCTTAGTGATCAATAAACTTAAACAGTACAACTTTGATCTAGGATAGACGGGATGTAGCTGATAGTAGAATTAAGGACCCACATTTCGCCCTACTAGAAACTAAGATAAATCTGTATTCCAGAGTTCATGCTCACTCGAGGACTCAAACCAGGTACCACTTGTTCCAGATTCCATTATGTTATCCACTTAGGCTTTGAGTCGAGATCTTCACTTACTTGTTCAAGGGTTTTGAAATCAAATCCTGGATTTCATTGCTAGCCACATTCCGTTTATTCTATATTAACTTGTTTCATAATATCTATATTGAAACAATCCGCACAGGATACAAATACGAAAACCAAAACTGATCAAATCTCAGTCAAGCATACTAACAACGGAATAATCCGAACCCTTTTACTTCTTCTAAATAGTCAAATTAGGTCATGTTCACAGCATCAGTCGAGTGGCAAAGCCACTACAACGACACCAATCCAACGACCCCGCTAAACCATTCAGTCTGTAGTAGCAACTGGTGGTGTGTTCAAAGGGCAGGGACATAATTAGCACAAGCTTACGACTTGCACTTACTAGCAATCTCTCGTTCACGGGGAATAAATTGACGTGTGATCTGTTAACTTATTTCATATTATTATATTACTTGATTGATTTCGGTTATATTACTGAACTACTGCTTGCTGTGCGCCGTTATCAGACTAAAGAGTGAACTAGAAAAAGAGAATGCGTTATAGACCAATAGAGTCTAAGATAATCACAGGATAAAATTCAAGGTCAGTCTTACTGGTAGAACCTTAAGACGCCAATATGAAAACCGAAAGTCAGATAGGGATTTTGTGGATATTATAATAATTTAATAGTTGAATTCATGAGTCAATTGAAGCTAGATCACCAATGAAAACCTGAAAGCACTGGACGGTCGTTTCATCCTAGCATGGGACTCTTCAGCTGTGCACATCCACGATCTCGTACGTGGGATTCGAACACTGGACCGATCTGTCCCACACGAGAATACTGTCACTTACGAGTTGTTCTTTTTTGACAACTTAGTACTGTAAATGTGAATAGAAATAAGAAGTTACATAACAACTTATCAAATTGTTTATTAATTTCGAAATCTGTATTGCTGCATATTCATACAAGTACTTCTCTCATTTATTCATAGTTCTTATTAAGCTAATTCAAACTTAATATTCTGCATCATCAACATCATCGCAATTTTCTTGAGTGCCTTTTTCATACGGTTGTCTATCTTCTTCAGCTCTATAAATATTTAATAATGAAACAACATGTCAGCTATTTCAATATGCATAGACATATATATATAAAGGACAACTATTGAAAATGCAAGGAGGACAGGTAACGAAAATAATACCAGTTATATGTGCATCATATCGTTGTCCACAACCGCCATTTTGTGGACCCAACAACCGGAGTGCATACTAACAATACTGAAGCTATGTGGTCGAGGCTGAAGAAGTTTAGCATACAACGGACAGCTGAGAACCAATTAGATGATTTCAACTTTACAGATGACCTATCCCTCCTACCGCATACACATGAACGAATGCAGATAAGGACAGCCAATGTAGCAGCAGTCTCTGCATCAGTAGGCCTCAACATGCACAAGAGGAAAACCAAGGTCCTCAAATACAACACGGAGAACAGCAATCCTATCACTCTTGATGGTGAAACTCTGACAGACGTGGAATCCTTCACGTACCTGGGAAGCATAATCGACTAACGTGAAGAATCCGATGCAGACGTAAAGGCGAGGATTTGCAAAGCAAGGACCGCATTCATACAATTGAAGAACATATGGAACTCAAAACAACTATCTATCAACCAATATCAAATTGAGAATCTTCAATACAAACGTCAAGACAGTTCTACTGTACAGAGCTGAAACTTGGAGAACTACAACAACCACCATCAAGAAGGTACATGTATTTATAAATGGTTGTCTAAGCAAGATACTCAACATCCATTGTCTGGATACTATCAGCAACAGCCTTCTCTGGGAGAGAACAAACCGGCTTCCAGCTGAAGAAGAAATTAGAAAAAGACGATGGAAATGGATAGGACATACATTACGCAAATCGTCAAACTGCATCACGAGGCAAGCTCTAACTTGGAATCCTGAAGGGAAGCGGAAAAGAGGAAGGCCAAAGAACACATTACGTCGGATAATAGAAGCAGATCTGAAAAGGATGAATAACAACTGGAATGAGTTGGAAAGGATAGCTCAAGACAGGGTTGGATGCAGAATGCTGGTGAGAGGCCTATGTTCCTTTGCGGGGAGTAACAGGCGTAAGTAAGTAAATATCATACTCATGTAAACCATATAAAAGAAGTGTATCCACTTTGACTCTTTGGTTTTGTAGAATATATTTTTACTTTATACTAACTGTTTTCTGATTGGCTAATATTTCTCAAGGTAACTTAAGATTTATTCAAAGATCGTCCATAAACAATAGTCTAGCCAGTGACAAAAGATATCCTTATGCATTCAATTAGTTAGCTACAAGGTACGAACAGGCATATATACTCATTAGTCCAAGTTGTTCCACCTCATTAGCACAACAAGATAAACATCAAACTCATGGAAGTGGTCACTTTAATGGCTACTTACTGACTTAATTACTTACGCTTATTTCTCCTAATGGTAGTAATATATAAAAGATTGATTGTGTATAAGGATATAGTACAAAGAGAATGATATAAGGCAATTTTAACCTCACAGTTTTAGGTAATCCTTATGCGTTACATGTATCTATTTATGTTCTCTAACCAATCAAAGCATATTTCTACTGGATATACTACTAACAAACTGTAAAAATAAATAAAAAAATATGTAAGGTAGATACTACTTATTACTACTTATAACTTACGCTGGTGAATAATTGCATACTACTAAAAATCTTTGGCCACATTTTTGTACACCACAACCAATTTCAGTTTCTTCACCTTTTACTATCTATAATTGTAAAATTAAATGTGTTTAACACTTTGATATAAATATCTACTGAACAATAGATATAATCATAAATTATCAGAAGGAGTTGAAGCTAGATAACCATGGAAAACTTGAAAGCATTGGATGGTCGTCTTGTCCTAGTATGAAACTCCTCAGCAGTTTGCAACCACAATCTCACCCCGCGAGACTCAAACCCAAGACCTAATGGTCTCGCGCGCGAGCGCTTAACCTCTAGATCATTAAGCCAGCCAGCATCCGACGGTGTAAATGTATAACTTTAACTAATCCATCAAATTTTGATACCGTCTACCATTGTCTTCAGTGAGTTACTATTTCAAAACAGACTCGGTTGAACTCTAATGGTCACTGCTTCTCATTAGAAGTTCAGGAAATAGGAACTAGATTTAGGGTTTTCATCACGAACTGTCATAATCTATAATGCCAAAATGGTATTTGGTCGAATAGATTTTGCGTCAAAATCCAAGACTCGTTATCTTAAATCTGATTGGTTCGTAAATGAATTATAATCTTGCCATTTAATCAAGTTATATGCTTCTTATATACGTCCGTATTCACTCAAGAGTACATTCAAGATCATTATGGTCACTATTATTTGATAGCCAATGATAATCAACTGTGTATCTAATATAGGATACCTATATTTATGCACGAAATTGAGCAACGAATCCTCGGTACTTCCATATGTGTAAGTATGGACCTTTGGACACAATGTTAGTAATCTAAGGGTTCTTTAGCTCATCACCATGTAAAAGGTCCTGGGTTCAGTCTACTATAAGTTCATTGGTGTATACTAATGAATAGTTTAAATCTAGACCAATATAAGATGCTATTACCTACCTGGTATTCAAGAATAATTCAACTAGTTTTAGTCAGGAACTTCTATCTGCAGTTTGTACTGATGATGTCGTTCAGAAGAACGACGAAAGCTCCACGATCAAACCATCCAACTCAGAGAACAAAACTCTATCAACTTCAGATGAACCTAATTACACCACACTGTCTAGGCTAATAATATCTCTATTTAAGATGGTTACTTGAAATGTTATTGATGAATCATAACTAGTGTAGTTCAATCATCTTAAGAATCAGACAGTTTCAATTGATAATAATAAAGAATTGAACAATTAGAAAATAATTTAATAGTTGAATTCATGAATCAATTGAAGTTAGACCACTATTAGAAAACCTCAAAGCACTGGACAGCTGTTTCGTCCTAGTATAGGACTCCTCAGCAGTGCTCATCCACAATCCCATCTCGCGACAAAATATTTCAAATAATATTTGAATTGAATGACAATTCTATTTATTACCAACACTTACCTGTTTATACTGCATACATGTATCATTGCATTTGTTATCAATAAAAGAATAGCTCTTGTATTCAACAAACCAACTGGCTACTGCTCTAAAAACAAAATAAAAGATCAATATGGGGGTTGTGGAGATTGTTAAGTTTTGGTTGAGATCATGAATCAATTGATGTTAGACCGCCGTTTGAAACCTGGAAGCACTGGACGGCCGTTTCGTCCTAGTATGAGACTCCTCAGCAGTGAGCATCCACGATCCCGCACCCCGCGGGATTCGAACCCAGGACCTACTGGCTTCGCGCCCGTCCAGTGCTTCCAGGTTTCCAACGGTGGTCTAACATCAATTGATTCATGATCTCAACCAAAAATAAAAGATCAAGTTGAGAATCAGGGACTAGTTTAAGTAACTTAATATCGTAATGACTTTGTTTGAATGTATGAAATCCTATTCCACATAGGTTTCATGTTGATTGACTAACGGAACATGATCAACACTAGCTAATTATATTACTCAATGATCAATCAATATTGATAATTCAGTTCAACAGCAAACCAAACGTAGCAGTAATAGATCAATAACAACGTCTCAGATCATGAAACTATGTAACTAGGGTTCACATTCATCAGAGGGGTATTTCCTTCAAGATTTCACATTTGTCTTGATTGTGAATGTTAATGAGTACGAAATTTATTATTGACATTACCCTCCAATTATCCTCAACTAATCAACAAAAGAAACTTACTTTTCAATTGTTGGACTATCAGCAATATTTTGTGCTACTGTACCAAATTCATCAAAATTCATATCACTTGGACTATCATAAGAGTAATCACATCGACTAGCTGAAAGTTGAGCTTTTTCTGCTAAATATGTATTCCATTTCTGTAAAGTAAGACAACGGGGGAATATTGATAATAACAATCAATACAAAGTACTAGTCAGATAGATATAATTGAGAAGATTGTTATGATTATTTAAATGGATTTATAATGATGGTCGATATGTATCGGATAATAGATATATGTTCACTTCTCTCATAACCTTATTGTCTCGCTACTTAACTCATGACCTTGAAAGTTTATACTTAGGGAAGATCACACTATTTGTAAGTAGTTTCACGCAATATCAAACAACAATTCAAGATAGATATCCTGAAGTTCTAGTGAAAAGCCGTGATCAGTGGAGTTTAATCGTGTCTAATGTGAAGCAGTTACTGACTGAAGATAATGGTGGATGGTGGCGCAATATCATGAATTGGTTAGAGTTATACATTAATGCCGTTAGATACCGTCTCTGTGGTTTCGAGGTCAAGTGTTAGTGCACAAGACTGAAGGTCCTCAGTTCAAGTCTGGCGCACGGGATCGTGGATGCACACTGCTGAGGAGTCCCATACTAGGACGAGACGGCCGTCCAGTACTTCCAGGTTTTCCATTACACAGTAAGAATACAAGTTATGAGATATTTCTTCATAATTAATTCTTCATGATTAAAATACTACTTTAATGAAATAATTCATCAAATCAGAAAGGTCTTGAACTGTTGATGAGTAAGTTAAGTGTTATTGAAGAGGAGAGGGTAAGTGTCATCTACTGGTTAGCAGAACCATAAAGGAATACTTTATTTTGATGGTTCTGAAATGCAAACTCGGCTAGATGTGGTCGTGACAACCTCTGAACCTGATGTTAAAGTTCAATGGACGGAAATAAGTGGGATAAAACTAAGTTTGATATATTGATAGTCTACATTTTTTCAGCTACTCCTTACATTATGGTAAGGTAGTATCGCTTTATATCCTGGTTGGTTGAGAGAAACACCCTCAGACCTTAAGTTCACTGTTCTAAACCTATTTTCTCTCTCTCTCTCACTCTAACTGCTCTACTTGGAATGGTAGAACTTAAAGCGATAAACTTTCCAGTCAATATCACTCTTTTGAGTCATAAAAAATACATAGATATATCCGCTATTTTAAGGTAGCAGATGCCATGTACTTACTAAAAGCCAATCGTTTTTCAGTTTATATTAATGTATAATGAAATCACCATTTGAATTACTTTAGATTTTAAATGAACTCAATCAGTATTTAAATAATAAATATAGAATCTCTTAAAATACTCTAATAGTTGAATTCACGAGTCAGTTGAAGCTAGAGCACTTAGGAAAACCTGGAAGCATGAGCCCCAGCATTGGATTCCTGATCAGTACACATCCACGATCCCGTCCCACGAGACTCGAACTCAGAACCTTTAGTCTTGCACGCCAAAGTCTAAGCTCCAAACCACTGAGCCAAACAAAAGACAGTCGTTTCGTCCCACCATTGAACTCCTGATTAGTGCTCATCCACGATTCCGTCCGACGAGACTCGAACTCAGAATCCTCTGTCTTGCACACAAATCCCTAACCTCTAGATCACTGAACTAAACAGAAGACAGCCGTTTCGCCCCACCATTGAACTCCTCATCAGTGCTCATCCACGATCCCGTCCTGCGGGATTCGAACCCAGGGCGTTCAGTCTTACACGTAAATGCTTAAGCTCTAGATCATTGAGCCGAACAAAAAGACATCACCTAGACAACATCAACATCAAAAACAAATGCACAACTTACTAATTTTGACATACGTTTTGCTGGAGGTTGATTTGGCATTTGACAAAAACGTATTGAATTACGATAATATTTATGTAATTGAAATACTTCACGTACTTCTTTAGGTAATTTTAATTTTTTACATTGACATAGAATAATAATAAAGAATAATAAAATAACCATAATGTTGATACATTTAAGACTATGATTGTTATTCATTGTAATAACATGTAAATAGGTGTATACAAATAGATTGTAATGTGTATTATGTTATTTATACTTTAAGTAAAGCCAATATCATTGATTCAATTACGACGTAATACTTATGACATGTTGTCATTATTGTTGCTACGTAATACATACATAGATAGATATATGAAGAGAGATAAGGTTAATAAATGACAAATGATTTACTTGTCAGATTACAATAAAATTGAGAGGAGAAACCCAATGATTAAAAAAAAGACTTTATCAGAAAAGGGGGAGGTTGTGGAAATTGTAGTAATCTCCACAAGACCCATTCTGATAATAATCACCTGCTCACTAGTGATTGACTTTGGGAGATACTCCTGGAGTTCTAGTGAGAAGCCGTTACCAGTGGAGTTCAACCAGATCTGTTGTGAGATAGGAACTCACTGATGACAATGGTGTACGGTGGTGCAACTTCGTGGATTAGTTGAAGTTAGACATTAACACTGTTGGATACAAGCCGGCTCAGTGGTCTAGTTGGTTCAGCGCCTGGCGCGAGACTGATAAGTCCTGGGTTCGAATCTCGCGAAGTGCGGGTCGGTGGATGCGCAATGCTGAGGAGTCCCATACTAGAACGAAACGGCCGTCCAGTGCTTCCAGGTTTTCCATGGTTGTCTAACTTTAATTGACTCATAATTTCAAGGAGTGAAATTTCTAAAATCTCCACAAAACCAATTCCGATAGTAATTTAATAGTTGAATTTTTTAAGTTTATTAAACCTAGACCACGATGAAAAACTTGGAAGTAGTGGACAGTCGTCTCGTCCCAGTATAGGACTCCTCAACAGTGTTTATTCACGAGATTCGAACCCAGGACTTATTGGTCTTATCTGTAAATGCTTAATCTCTAGAACACTAAGCTGATATCTAACGGTGTTAATGTAAAACTTCAACTTATGCATGAAATTACGCGTGAGAACGAAAGTTCTGGGTTGGAATCCTACGAGCGGGATCATGGATGCGCACTGCTGAGGAGTTCCATACTAGGATGAAATGGTCATCCAGTACTTCCAGGTTTTTCATGCTAGTCTTACATCAATTGATTCATGGTCTCAATAAAAAATTTAACAATCTCCACAACCCCATACTGATATTTATATAAGAATTAACATTTTCATTTTAGTGGTATAGACTCTTTCGCTTATCGATCAGATATTTTTCCGCTTTACATTCACTTTTTCACTACTCACATAGGAACATTATTAATATAAATAACTTTTGAATGTAATTTTATAGTTTATGTGAAAGGATTTGCATATCCCCGTTGTTGGTATTAAGAGCTGTATAATGACTTGAATAACATAAACCAAATATTTATTATAGTTATTGGTCTGGCTGTTTACTACAACTACGGAAATAACGGCCAACTTATATTTATAAGCAAAGATGGATGGTAGCTAACAGTGGAATCCAGGACGGGTGTTTCATCCTATTTTGGTCACATAAACTGGATGTACCTGCATTTCAGAGTTGATGTTCACTGCGGTGCTTGAATTCAGTACCATTCGCTTTGAATGCTATCGCGTTGTCCACTTAGTCACTGAGTCCTGATAGCCACTGCATTGCATAAGGCTGTATATATATTTATAACTCAAGAACATCTGGAACTCAAAACAACTGTCTGTCAACCAACACCAAGGTCAGGATTTTCAATATAAATGTCAAGACAGTTCTACTGTATGGGGCAGAAACCTGGAGAACTACGTAAGCCATCATCTAGAAGATACAGGTGTTTACTAACAACTGTCTACGCAAAATACTTCGGATCCGTTGGCCAGGCACTATTAGCAATAACCTACTATGAGAGAGAACAAATCAGATCCTAGCAGAGGAAGAAATCAGGAAGAATCGCTGGAAGTGGATAGGACACTCAATGAGAAAAGCACCAAACTGCGTCACAAGGCAAGCCCTCACATGGAATCCTCAAGGCCAAAGGAAAAGAGGAAGACCGAAGAACACATTACGCTGGGAAATGGAGATAATTTTGTTTTTGATTATAACCCTGAAGAAGTTCAGACAAATTTGATGGACAAGATGGTGAAATTATTTAAATTTCACAAATAATAATCTTTCTAGTGTTTTACAAATTTTATTGATTATCCTTTCTATGTTAAAATCTTAACTTTATTGTCTGTGATGATCTTGGATACAATACTGTCGATCTTATGGTAGTGATCTTTCATCAAATCTTTCCTTGTATTCAACTGCGAATAATCCATTAGATAAAAAGATATCTTCCACCAATTAAAGTACTGTGTGAATACAATCTTTGGTCAAATTACCTTCTCATTGACAAATGAGTTTGAGAATTCCTAATGTTTTTGAGTCAATCATCTCGTCATAGAATCCATCCTACATTATTTCAGCTGCTAATTATACTTTATATTCTGGTTAGTGATTTTTTTGGTAAAGTTGTTTCTTAAGGGATGGAGTTGCTGAACACACTCTCAACCCTCCTCCTTTACCCAGGATTGGGACCGGCGGTAGTCCTAGAAGAGTTAAAAGTGTATCGTCGTTGAACAATCATTTGAATGGAACAAGTCCATTTACATCAATTTCCTTGACAATGAGTATGCATTTGACAGTGTGGATAGGAGTAAGTTATGGAAACTTCTTCGACACTATGATTAACAGAGAAAATTGTCAATCTCATCCGGAATTCATACGACGGACTATAGTGCAAAGTCGTGCATGAAGGACAGCTGACAGACTCATTCCTAGTAAGGATAGTAGTGAGACAAATCTGTCTACTCTTTCTTCTGGTGGTCGACTAGAATATGAAGACCTCAACATCTAACGTGTAGCACGGAACACAATGGATAGGTTAGATGCAACTAAACAATTCGGACTTTTCAGATAAACTGGATCTTATATCCCAAACACATGAACAAATGAATGTCAAGCCAAACAGTGTGGCAGCAACATCTGTCTCAATAGGCGTCACCATCCACAAGAGAAAAAGCAACATTCTCAAATACAACAAAGAGAACCAATATCAATGTCACAATCTTCAATACGAAAGAGGGGGGCTTGGGCAATGGGTTAGCAACCTCATCTCGTAGAAAATTAACTCTCTAAAGGCAAACGTTAACCATAATTCATCACTATTTCTTATTCATTAGTATGTTATAATGACTACTAGCTCTATTGAACTAAATGTTTAGTTGAATTCACAATACAATGACATAAATGTGCCAATTAAATAGAATTCCAATAAGATTACTTAACAGAAATGAAAATCAATCTGTCAACAACACAACTCCCCACTTTTAAGTATAGATTGAAGCTTATCACTGTGTGCTTTGTATTCAAATATGTTAATCTAAAACCAAAGGAAGTAGAACATTCATTATTTCTTCAATAATCTTGTTATTTACCAGATGATTTGTACATTAATTTTGAATGTGTAGATAAGTGTGGATGGGTGTATGTGTAGTTATTTCGAGGATAAAAGAAAAGGGCTTTCTCATGTTACTTAGTTCTAATTGAATCCAAATAGAACTCAATCTTTGACTATTAATGTCTTCAAATTAAATCAATCGCCATGACAACTATTCAATAATACTATCATTGGGATCGTTATGAACTCATTTTGACATAAGCTCTTGGAATTTGAGTGCAAATTAGTAACTGATGGATTGAAGAGATACAAACGCCAAGGTGAGAATCGTGAAACCAAGCACAGCATTCCTATAGTTGAAGAACATATACAACTCGAAACAACTCTCTGTCTCAACCAATACCAATGTCACAATCTCCAATATGAATGTCAAAACAGTTTTATTGTATGGAGCTGAAATGTGGAGAACTATCACTACGATCATCAAGAAGATACAAGATACTCAATATCCGTTGGCCGGATACCATCAGTAACAACCTACCATGAGAGAGGACAAATCAACTTCCAGTTGAAGAGGAAATTAGGAAAAAGATGATGGAAATGGATAGGACATACATTATGGAAATCACCAAACTGTATCACGAAGTAAACGCTAACTTGGAATCGTGAAGGAAAACGGAAAAGCGGAAGATCAAAAAACACAGTATGTTAGGAATGGAAACAGACATGAACAGGATGAATAAGAAGTGGATAGAACTGGAAATGACTGCTAAGGACAGAGTTGAATGTAGAATGGTGGTGAGCGGCCTATGTTCCTTCACGGGAGGTAACAAGCGTAAGTAAGTAAGGATATAAGATATATTGTAAGTGAAATGTTCATCATCAGTGGCAGTAAATAATCGTCTAACTATATCATGTATGGACTTAAAATGAAAATGAATATTGTTGAATGACAGTACAGTGATGTTATTCATAATTATCTATTATGCCACTGGTAATGATCTTCTATTTACATTTTATTGATGGATTACATGGTGGCTCCATTTTTCTTAGAAATTTAATGCCTATCCCTGTTTTCTTTACTTCAACTAGATGCTTATGAGTTAGATTAGGCTTTATTGTTATAACTTGTAGGTTTGTGCCCTTATCAGTGTATAGAGTAATGATACCGCCGATTCAAGAACAGCAACTTATCGACCGGATCAATGACGTATAAACCCGTACGAACAGTCTAGAATCCTTATCAGTCCTTCTTCCTGATTAGCCCTGCCCACCTGTTGAGTCCACAACACAAATCTCAGCCTCTACGACATGAATCATGTATTTCAAACATATTGGGTTTATATACAAACCAACCAGACTATATCGTACCATAAAAGGGAAAATAACATTTGTACAAGATTTAGCCAAAAGTACCTGTGAATGTGAGAGGTAGTGATTAATAGACTGGGCATAACTCAAGAACGGTAAATCGTATAATAATAGTCTATGGATCAAAATGAAGCTTATAATAAAAAGAATATGAATATACATAGTTTAGTTACGTAACAATGATACAATAGGTACATATGTATAGTATTAAGTCAGAAATAGATTCCATCAGTTACCATTTATTATTCTCATCGGGATAT